ATTGGGCAGGAGTAAGAAACAAAGGGTATTCAGATAGGAAGAGAGGAAGTCCCTGTTTGTAGATGACATGATTGTATATTTAGAAAACCCCATCATTTCAGCTCATAATCTCCTTAAGCTGATCAGCAGCTTCAGCAAAGTCTCAGGATATAAAATCAACGTAGGCCGGGCGCGGTGGCTCAAGCCTGTAATCCCAGCACTTTGGGAGGCCGAGGCAGGTGGATCACGAGGTCAAGAGATCGAGACCATCCTGGTCAACATGGTGAAACCCTGTCTCTACTAAAAATACAAAAAATTAGCTGGGCATGGTGGCATGTGCCTGTAATCCCAGCTACTCAGGAGGCTGAGGCAGGAGAATTGCCTGCACCCAGGAGGCGGAGGTTGCGGTGAGCTGAGATCGCGCCATTGCACTCCAGCCTGGGTAACAAGAGCGAAACTCCGTCTCAAAAAAAAAAAATAAAATAAAATAAAATAAAATAAAATCAACGTGCAGAAATCATAGGTATTCCTATACACCAATAATAGACAAACGGAGAGCCAAATCACAAGTGAACTCCCATTCACAATTGCTACAAAAAGATTAAAATATCTAGGAATACAACTCACAAGATAGGTGAAGGACCTCTTCAAGGAGAACTACAAACCACTGCTCAAGGAAATAAAAGAGGACACAAACAAATGGAAAAACATTCCACGCTTACGGATAGAAAGAACGAATATTGCAAAAATGGCCAAACTGCATAAAGTAATTTATAGATTCAACGCTATCCTCATCAATCTACCATTGACTTTCTTCACAGAATTAGAAAAAACTCCTTTAATTTTCATATGGAACCAAGAAAAAGCCTGTGTAGCCAAGACAATCCTTTGCAAAATGAACAAAGCTGGAGGCGTCACGCTACCTGACTTCACTATACTACAAGGCTACAGTAACCAAAACAGCATGCTACTGGTACCAAAATAGATATATAGACCAATGGAACAGAACAGAGGCCTCAGAAATAACAGCACACATCCACAACCACATCTGATCTTTGACAAACCTGACAAAAACAAGCAATGGGGAAAGGATTCCCTATTTAATAAATGGTGTCGGGAAAACTGGCTAGCCATAAGCAGAAAACTGAAACTGGACCCCTTCCTGACACCTTATACAATAATTAACTCAAGATGGATTAAAGACTTAAACATAAGAGCTAACACCATAAAAACTCTAGAAGAAAAGCTAGGCAATACCATTCAGGACATAGGTCTAGGCAAGGATTTCATGACTAAAACACCAAAAGCAATGGCAACAAAGTCAAAATTGACAAATGGGATCTAATTAAACTAAAGAGCTTCTGCACAACAAAAGAAACTATCATCAGAGTGAATAGGCAACCTACAGAATGGTAGAAAATTTTTGCAATCTATCCATCTGACAAAGGGCTAATATCCAGAAGCTACAAAGAACTTAAACAAATTTACAAGAAAAAAACAACCCCATCAAAAAGTGTTGAAGGCTATGAACAGACACATCTCAAAAGAAGACATTTATGCAGCCAACAAACATAGGAAAAAATGCTCATCATCACTAGTCATTAGAGAAATGCAAATCAAAACCACAATGAGATACTATCTCACACCAGTTAAAATGGCGATCATTAAAAAGTCAGGAACAACAGATGCTGGAGAGGATGTGGAGAAATAGGAATGCTTTTAAACTGTTAGTGGGAGTTCAACCATTGTGGAAGACAGTGTGGCAATTCCTTAAGGATCTAGAACCAGAAATACCATTTGACCCAGCAATCCCATTACTGGGTATATACCAAAAGGATTATAAATCATTCTACTATAAAGACACATGCACACATATGTTTATTGCAGCACTGTACACAATAGCAAAGACTTGGAACCAACCTAAATGCCCATCAATAATAGACTGGATAAAGAAAATGTGGCATATACACATATGCAGCCATAAGAAAGGATGAGTTCACATCCTTTGCACGGTTATGGATGAAGCTGGAAACCATCATTCTCAGCAAACTAACACAAGAACAGAAAACCAAACACCGCATGTTCTCACTCATAAGTGGGAGTTAAACAATGAGAACACATGGACACAGGGAGGGGAACATCACACACCAAGGCCTGTTGGGAGGTGGGAGACTAGAGGAAGGATAGCATTAGGAGAAATACCTAATGTAGATAATGGGTTCATGGGTGCAGCAAACCACCATGGCACATGTATACCTATGTAACAAACCTGAACACAAGTAAAAAAAAAAAAAAAAAAAAAAAGTTTAATATCCAGTAAATTAACAACAATAAGTTTCAGTTTTTCAATCTTTTAAGATTATTAAGGTACAATGGAGAAAAGTTTATTCAGCCAGTGCTTTCAGTAAGGAATTTGAACTGCCCCATGCAGAAAATCGTATGTGAAGTCAACAATTTTTAAACCAAAGTCACCAGCTATTATCATTTTCTGAAGTGTGCTCTGTGAGATGTTAGTAAGCGATATGTTAGCACAAAAAGTTGGGGAGAGTTCACGATAAGTAAGATCGGGAAATTCTGAAATAGAGTTTAACAAGTTTCTTTATTGCAAGACTTTTGAGACAGACCAATGGACACTGACGCTCTTCAAGATGTGACATGTTTTATTCAAACTTATTTGACAAAATTTTGTCAGAATATCTAAAGGGCTTGGATTCTCATGGGCAAATATAGAGAAATACTGCTCTTCTCTTCCTAAACTTGGTAACTCAGCTCCTTGAAAGTTCAAACTCTATTTTCAGTCAATTTGCAGTGAAACTAATTTTTATTTGCAAATAGTGAGAGCAGCTTTGTCCAACAAATGTTAACAGTTAGAGTGACATTCTAAACATATTGAGATTTCAACACACGTTGAGACTATTCTTACAAGTATCATTATCTAACAAACAAAGCAATGAGACCTATTAGAAAGTACTTGTGGCTTTGAATTAGGAGGATTTCACTTCGATGACTTAGAAAGGCGATGAATTACTGCCAGTGGGGCAGGGCTTTGTTTGGTCTGTAGATCTCCAGTCAGTGGTTTGAAGAGCTATAAATGATCAGATATGGGGATTTGTAGTTGGGCACATTCATCTGCAATTGGGTACTTTCTAAATGAAATATTCATCTTTCCCAGCCCAAATTGTTCCATGGACCTATAAACCATCTAAACTCCTGGCTTCTGATCCCAGCACTGAGGAATAGGAGGAAGAGTAAAAGAATTGCCCAGCATTATTAACTAAAATAAAAGCTTAAGGAAAGAATCGGAGAGGGGCAGGGCTACCCTGCAGACAGGCCATTAGGATATACTGACCTATGCTCTATCTCATTCTCTACTTTACACAGTGATTTCATCAACCAATTTGTCTATAAGAACAAAGTCTTTGGTAAAAATTGAGTTAGTCACAAAGGTGCTATTAAATGAGATGAGGTAAAACGGGTCACATTGTTGCATACATTTCTCCTTAATGGTATAGATATCAAATGTGTAGACAACCAAATGTTACTTTAGTTCAGACGTGAGGTGACAAAATGTTTGTTTTCTATCACCAAGAAATTCAAGTTTTTCTCTCTAATGACATCAAAACAGCATTGTGCACAGTAATAAAGAATATAAAAACATGAAAACAAAATTTTTATTGGGAAAGGAAATGTTATGTACATTAAGTATAAGGCCAATGAAATGTATGACATTAGCAAACTTTAAAAAACAAATACAGGTTTAGTAAAGGAAGAAGGTAGAAGCTTACAACAGATTTCCATACACAATTTCCACACAGTTTTAAGTAACAAGATATCAATTTGCATAAATTATACAGATTGAGGGAAAAGTGTATTGGTTGGTGACTATTTCCTATCATCAATTCACTTTGTACCTTATAGATATTCTGCCATGATCCCAACTTCGGTAGTCCTAACACTGTTCTAAAAAGGTCTTCTGAATCCTTAAGCGGGTACTTACCAAGAGGTTATGTCACAAGTAGGGTTTTTTTGGTTCATTTTGAATTAAATAAATTCCACATGCTCTTAAATAAACTTCATGGTTTTCAAGACAGCTGCTTGAGCCAAATCTGGAAGAGTTCTTCTGTTCTGGGACATGCTTAAGCCATGTGTCCATATGTGTAAAGAGTTTGGAAATGGCATCAGAATGTGTAGGCATCTTTGTTGATACACAGTTTAAGTCTCATGTGAGCTAACAGAATCTATGCAATTCTGGAGACTATTGGTAAAAATGGGTATCTGTATGTGTTGTAGACAACAATCTTCTATAAACAATACTCTGTTTGCTTATTTCTATCCCCCAAACAGAAAACATCTAACAAGAACAATTTTATCTATGTTTATTTAATTACAACAAAAATAGAACAATGTATGCCAAATGGAAAAGGATATTAAAAAACGATGATAAAATATTTAGAAACAGAAATGACTACATTTAGCTGAAGGAATTATCCAGGTGCCATTAAACACATTTGGAACTTGTAATTGGTTATTAGTGTAAATTAAATTTAGCAACTGAGTCCCAGTTCACTACTAAGAGTTGTCAAAATATTTTCTTTTTCTTTTTATTTTTTATAAAGACAGGGTTTCACCATGTTGCTCAGGCTGGTCTTGAACTCCCAACCTCAGGTGATCTGCCCACCTTAGCCTCCAAAGTGCTTGGATTACAGGCGTGAGCCACCATGCCCAGCCTGTCAAAATATTTTCAAAATGTCACATCAAAAATTGGCAACAACCATAAGTATTACATAAACACCAAACCAAAAAAATTATTTAAGAAAAATAAATGTATCTTGAGATAAAATAAAAATCACACTATGCTAGTATATACCCCCTTTCCCCTCACATACAATTGTGAGGCTTCAGTATTTTGCATGTTCCAGGATAAAGTAATGTTAATATATATTGATGTAAATTTCAGCCATTAAAAATAAACTATTTAATATCTTAAATATTCCTACAATGAAACATCCAGACTCTAGTTTCACTAATCAAAATTTTATGAAGACATAAATTGCATTCAGTTTTAACTCCTCAAATCATGACTGAAAACTTTCAGCAAAGCATTCTAGGCTTTTTTTCCCTCATACCAACTGACCCAGAATATATTTTAAGAAATGTTTATTTTCTATGTATATTTCTTTTAAAATTATAAATTCCTGAGTACTTTTTCTTCTTCCTCCTCATCACTGTCAGTGACATTGACTTGCTGGATGCTAGAAGGAGTTGATGTCGGGGCTGTGAAGACATTCTCCAAGGTTCCAATGTCCATCTGAGGCACAGGGTTTAAGTATTCTTCCCCACTGTGGCTATGACTGTTATAGTAAGAGGTTCCATCTATGTTCTCACAACTCCGAGAATTTTCGCTGTGTGTGCGTTCATCTTGGTAGTCTCTAAAAGGATACTCTCTATTTAAAGCTGAAAATATAGCCTCATGTTTTTGGTACGTGTCTTCATAATAACCAAGGCATTCTGGCATTGAACTTGGAAAATTTCCATAACCAAAGGGAGGCCGACTATAAGGGCAGGTGCTGCAGCATAAAGACACAAACAAGGAATTAGATCATACCTTGCCCATGTATTGCCTTGCATACAGACTAAGGGAGCAAGTTAATGCATCCTCTTTGGGGCTTGGAAAGTTCCTTTCTGTAATCACTTCATGCGTTCCTTTGCTCTTTTCCCACTGCCCAGTCACCACCCATAAGAAATAGGAAAGGGAGCTTGTAACTGGAATACTCACCAGCACTATTATCTATCGTTAGCCTCAGGCTTCTTACCTTTTGACAATCTTGATAAGGAAATTGCTTATTCTGGCCTTTCCCTCAAATGCCTCAAACCATGTAAGGTTTTGGAATGCAGATGTGTGTTGAGCTTTGAAATGCTGATGTGCATTGAACTATGCTAAGAATTGACACTTAGTAAACAATGCAACAGTTGTTTTTACTGGTATTTGCGAATGCTCTATTTCCTTGTTTCTCTGCATATCTTGTAACTTTTTGTTGAAAACTGGATGTTTTGAATATTATAATGTGATGTCACTAGAAATCAAATTCTTTCCCTTTTCTAAGGTTTGTTGTTGTTGCTTGTTTTGGGTTGTAGTTGTTTATTTGATTTTCTAGAGTATTTTTGTAAAGGGTGTATTCTTTGTTATGAATGGTCATTGAAATCTCTGTTCAATTAGCTTTGTGGTCAGATAGAAATTTGATAGATATTTCCTTAAAAACCTAGAAACAATCAGCAGCAACCCTTACTGTTCTACAGATGCCGCAGGTGATCCCTAGGCAAGCAGGGTCTCGAGTGGACCTCCAGCAGTCTTACAGCAGAGTGGACTGACTGTTTGAAGGAAAACCAAAAAACAGAAAGAAATAACTTCCAACATCAACAAAAAGGACGTCCACTCAGAGACTCCACCTGAAAGTCACCAACTACAAAGATGACAGGTAGATAAATCCACAAAGATGGGAAGAAACCAGCACAAAAAGGATGAAAACTCCAAAAATCAGAACACCTCTCCTCCTCTAAGGGATCACAACTCCTCACCAGCAAGGGAACAAGGCTGGATGGAGAATGCATCTGATGAATTGACAGAAACAGGCTTAGAAGGTGGGTAATAACAAACTTCTCTTAGCTAAAAGAACATGTTCTAACCCAATGCAAAGAAACTAAGAACCTTGAAAAAAGGTTAGACAAAATGCTAATGAGAATAAACAGCTTAGAGAAGAATATAAATGACTTGACGGAGCTGAAAAACAACACGAGAACTTTGCAAAGCACACATAAGTTTCAATAGCTGAATCGACCAAGCGGAAGAAAGGATATCAGAGATTGAAGATCAACTCAATGAAATAAAATGAGAAGGCAAGATTAGAGAAAAAAGAGTGAAAAGAAATTAACAAAGCCTGCAAGAAATATGGGATTATGTGAAAAGACCAAATCTACGTTTAATAGGTGTACCTGAATGTGACGAAGACAATGAATCCAAGCTGGAAAACACTCTTCAGTATATTATTCAGGAGAACTTCCCCAACCTAGCAAGGCACGTCAACATTCAAGTCCAGGAAATACAGAGAACATCACAAAAATATTCCTCAAGAAGAGCAACCCCAAGGCACATAATCATCAGATTCATCAGGGTTGAAATGAAGGAAAAAATCCTAAGGGCAGCCAGACAGAAAGATTGAGTTACCCACAAAGGGAAACCCATCAGACTCACAGTGGATCTCTCAGCAGAAACCCAACAAGCCAGAAGAGAGTGGGGATCAATATTCAACATCCTTAAAGAAAAGAACTTTCAACCTAGAATTTCATATCCAGCCAAACTAAGCTTCATAAGCAAAGAAGAAATAAAATCCTTTATGAACAAGGAATTGCTGAGAGATTTCATCACTACCAGGCCTGCCTTATGAGAGATCCTGAAAGAAGCACTAAATAGACAGGAACAACCAGTACCAGCCACTCCAAAAATGAACCGAATGGTAAAGACCATCAACACAATGAAGAAACTGCGTCAACCGACGGGCAAAACAACCAGCTAGCATCAAAATGGTAGGATCAAATTCTATTAACGCTAAATGTAAATGGGCTAAATGCCCCAATCAAAAGACACAGACTGGCAAATCAGATAAAAAGTCAAAATCCACCAGTATTTTGCTGTATTCAGGAAACCTATCTTATATGCAAGGACACACACAGGCTCAAAATAAAGGGATGGAGGAAGATTTACCAAACAAATGGAGAGCAAAAAAAAAACAGGAGTTGCAATCCTAGTCTCTGATAAAATAGACTTTAAACCAACAAAGATCACAAGAGACAAAGAAGGGTGTTACACAATGGTAAAAGGATCAATGCAACAAGAAGGGCTAACGATCCTACATATATACACACCCAATACAGGAGCACCCAGGTACATAAAGCAAGTTCTTAATGACCTACAAAGAGACTTAGACTCCCACACAATAATAGTGGGAGACACTCCACTGTCAATATTAGACAGATCAATGAGACAGAAAATTAACAAGGATATCCAGGACTTGAACTCAGATCTGGACCAAGCAAAACTAATAGATATCTACAGAACTCTCCACCACAAATCCACAGAATATACATTCTTCTTAGCACTGCATGGTACCTACTCTAAAACTGACCACATAATTGGAAGTAAATCACTCCTCAGCAAATGCAAAAGAACAGAAATCATAAATCTCTCAGACCACAGTGCAATCAAATTAGAACTCAGGATTAAGAAACTAATGCAGGCCGGGTACAGTGGCTCACACCTGTAATCCCAGCACTTTGGGAGGCTGAGGCAGGTGGATCATGAGGTCAAGAGATCGAGACCATCCTGTTCAACATGGTGAAACCCTGTCTCTACTAAAAATACAAAAAAAAAAAAAGTAGCTGGGCATGGTGGCGCATGCCTGTAATCCAAGCTACTCAGGAGGCTGAGGCAGGAGAATTGCCTGAACCCAGGAGGTGGAGGTTGCGGTGAGCTGAGATCGCGCCATTGCACTCCAGCCTGGGTAACAAGAGTGAAACTCTGTCTCAAAAAAAATAATAATAAATAATAAAAATTAAAAAAATAAATAAATAAAAATAAAAGGGCTGGGCACGATGGCTCAAGCCTGTAATCCCAGCACTTTGGGAGGCCGAGGCGGGTGGATCACGAGGTCGAGAGATCGAGACCATCCTGGGCAACGTGGTGAAACCCTGTCTCTACTAAAAATACAAAAAATTAGCTGGGCATGGTGGCATGTGCCTGTAATCCCAGCTACTCAGGAGGCTGAGGCAGGAGAATTGCTTGAAGCCAGGAGGCAGAGGTTGCGGTGAGCCGAGATTGCGCCATTGCACTCCAGCCTGGGTAACAAGAGTGAAACTCCGTCTCAAAAAAAAAGAAAGAAACTAACGCAGAAATGCACAACTTAATGGAAACCGAACAACTGGCTCTTGAATGTTGACTGGATAAACAATGAAATGAAGGCAGAAATAAAGATGTTCTTTGAAACCAACAAGAACAAATATACAACATACCAGAATATCTGGGACACATTTAGAGCAGTGTCTAGAGGGAAATTTATAGCAATAAATGCACACATGAGAGCAAGGAAATATCTAAAATCGACACCCTATGATCAATACTGAAAGAGCTAGAGGAGCAAGATAAAAAAATCTCAAAAGCTAGCAGAAGACAAGAAATAAGTAAGATCAGAGCAGAACTGAAGAAAATAGAGACACAAAAAACCCTTCAAAAAAATCAATAAATCCAGGAGCTGGTTTTTTGAAAAGATCAACAAAATAAACCGCTAGCCAGATTAATAAAAAAGAAAACAGAGAAGAATCAAATAGATGCAATAAAAAACAATAAAGGGGATATCACCACCAATTACACAGAAATACAAAGTACCATCACAGATTACTACAAACAACTCTATGCATACAAATCAGTAAACCTGAAGAAATGGATAAATTCCTGGACACTTGCACCCTCCCAAGACTGAAACAGGAAGTCAAAACCCTGAATAGACCAATAACAAGGGCTGAAGTTGGGGCAGCAATTAATAGCCTACCAACCAAAAAAAGCCCAGGTCCAGATGGGTTCGCAGCCGAATTCGACCAGACATACAAAGAGGAGTTGGTACCACTCCTTCTGAAACTATTCCAAACAATCCAAAAAGAGAGAATCCTTCCCAAATCATTTTATGAGACCAACATCATCCTGATACCAAAACCCAGCAGAGACTCAACACAAACAGAAAACTTCAGGCCAATATCCATGATGAACACAGATGCAAAAATCTTCAATAAAATACTGGCAAACTATTGCAACAGCACATCAAACAGTTTATCCATCACGATCAAGTAGGCTTCATCCCAGGGATGTAAAGCTGGTTCAACATACGCAAGTCCATAAGCATAATCTACCACATAAACAGAACCAAAGACAAAAACCACATGATTATCTCAATAGATGCAAAGAAGGCCTTTCACAAAATTCAACAGCCTTTATGCTAAAAACTCTCAAGAAACTAGGTATCAATAGAATGTATCTCAAAATAACAAAAGCTATTTACAACAAACCTACAGCAAATACCACACTGAACGGGCAAAAACTGGAAGCATTCCCTTTGAAATCTGGCACTAGACAAGGATGCCCTCTCTCACCACTCCTATTCAACACAGTATTGGAAGTTCTAGCCAGAGCAATCAGGCAAGAAAAAAATAAATAAATAAAGGGTATTCAATTAGGAAAGGAGGAAGTGAAATTGTCTCTATCTGCAGATGACATGATTATATATTTAGAAGACCCCATCATTTCAGCCCAAAATCTCCTTAAACTGATAAGAAACTTCAGCAAAGTCTCAGATACAAAATCAACGTGCAGAAATCACAAGCATTCCTATACACCAGGCGTCCCCAAACTTTTTACACAGGGGGCCAGTTCACTGTCCCTCAGACTGTTGGAGGGCCGCCACATACTGTGCTCCTCTCACTGACCACCAATGAAAGAGGTGCCCCTTCCTGAAGTGTGGCGGGG